AGTGAAAAATAAAAAAAGTAACAGTGTACTGGTCAAGAAAAAGTTGCAGACATTAATTTGAGCACATCACCACTAAATTCTGTCGTGAATTTAAATGAGTTTTTCCATTCTTCTTTTTGACATTTTATCTTTCTCAAAATAAACATTCCAAACCACTTAAGATGTAGATTCATTCTCTCTGAAACTATTTCCTCCTTGAGATTTTATCTCAGTAAAAATATGCTTGCTGGCTGAAAGAGTAAAAGATTAAGCAGTACACAAGTCTAGGAGCGAAGAAAGCACACATAGATGCCCCTAAACTGAAAACTAGTGATAAAAAGTTGAAACAGTTTTGTTTTACTGGCTGCTGATTTAGGGAGAAAAGTGCTTACCCAGGGGCAAATACTTGTCATATTATTATTTAAGCACCATGACATGCAGATACACAAAATTATTTGAGTATCCAATAAAAAGCACTTAAACTAAAGCAGCTTAGAATACAAAAATAGGAGTAAGAGACAGCTGGTGTGAATATCTCCACAAATTTCTGTGTAAATCACATAGCATTGCTGCTCCATATGATTAGCTAAAAAAGACTACAGCAGAATACAAAAGATCCAATACAATTGTGCTTCAAAAGAAGTTAAAGCACCAATTACATTGCAGTGAATTAAAAACACTTTGCTGTTAAGCAGAAAGAAGTGGAAATGAAAGAGAAGGAAACAAAAGTTATGGTATTTATTTTTCTTCTCTATAACATAACAAAAACCATTCCTTAATTTCTTGGAAATTGTGAGATGGATGAGTCTACTTAATGGCATTATAAACAAACACAATTTCTGGCATGAGTATAACATTACTATTGGTAAAAAAAAAACAACACCCAAAAAATATCTCAGGAAATACTGAAAGAAACTCTGCTTTACCCAAAACCATGGATTTTTTATCTCTGCTGCAAATAAAAAATCTTTTCTCTATTTTACAGTTCAGTAGATGACTGCTGCTTTCTCCTGTCTCCCTTTCTCACCATTTCTAAATACCTTCAACTCTTGCTTGGACTCAGAAAGGCAAGAGCACATCCTTCGGACTGAGGAGACTTGTGTTTTTACTCTCTTGTCATCATAACATTAAGAAAAGCTAGCACGTACACCAAAACATTTTCACTGTTAGCACTGTCAGGCATCAGACCAGGCTGCCAAGAGAGACTCCACAGTCTCCTTCCTTGGAATTTTTCATGGTATGTTGTAATTAAGCCGTAGGCAACCCCATCTGAACTCAGTGTTGAGCCTGTTTTTTACAGGAATTTGTACCAGATTACTTCCTAAGGTCCTATCTGAATTATTTTATGAATGTGCAGCCCTCAGCTCCTTAAAAAATTATCTCTATAACTCTCCAGAACAGCACAACAGCTGTTGTGTTTCGTACAATTCCTGTATGACAACAAGTATTCTCTTGTAATTTTATTTTTCTTCCCAATTGCATTTCTACATTCACCTATTATTTCTTATATCCTGTAAGTCCTTTGGAGCTTCCTTTTGTTCTGCATTTGCATGTCTAGCACTTGGAGTCCTAGATTTTTGACTAAGACTTCCACAAAATACAGCAATAGAAATAAAACAGAAAAAGAAAGAAACCCCAAAAGTTAAAAAAAAGAAATAAAGTAAAAGAAAGAAAACAAAAGGGAAAAAGAAAAAGGGTGAATATCAGATTTAGATTTAAGGAGTACTTAAAAGGTAAGACACACTTGAGTGACAATACAGTTATTTTCTTAGTAGCAAGGAAAAACAGTTGAAAAGACTAAAACCTTATGCATTTGACCAAGTAAATATGGCAGGTCTATATATCGGTCCCCTATTATTATTGTGTAATCATGAATGAACACTGATTGTAGGAGAACATGGAAGAAAAAAACCCTAAAAAACCAGAAAAAACTGTTTAATTTTTAAGAGGCTGACTAGCTTTATCGTGCTGATAGGAAAAGAATTATTTCAAATCACCATTCATCAGATGGTGTATCTGACAAGAGGAACAACCACCAGACTTTACTGAAGAGAGAATGAAAAAATATTTTTGCTAACCTAAGGACCTATTTAATACAGATACACTCTTATCCGTTAGTTATTCTTTGCCAAGACAAACACGGGCTAACTCAGACACTACCTCTCAAAACAGCTCAAGCTATACCTTTACCCTGACAGGCCAAGACGGAAAAGCAGCCAGAGCTGTCTGCATCACTTTCCAGTTACTTATTTCTGACTGGCAAATAGCTCTTTTTACTAATTTCTCCCCAGTGAAGGGCTGTTTGTAGTTCTGCAGGTGAGCCGTGGACATTGGTCTGTTGTGGTAACAAATATCACAGAACTAAAGCAGCAGGAGTTGGGAGAGGCAGAAATATGGCACAAGAAGAAATAAAATTATTGGCATGTACATCAAAGAAACTAAGTTCAAAGCAGTGGAGTAAAAAAAACACAAAACCCAACAACTTTTCAGTTAATTCTCATTCACTGCATTGGGTTCTCCATCAAGATGAATAAGATGGCAGGGGCTCTAACACTGCACGAGGTGATAGGCAAATCAGAACATCTGTCGAATGTGTCAAACCCCAGTGCTTGAAAGTGACAACACAAAACACCAGTAACCGAGGTTTGGTAGGTATTTTCTTCCTGTTTAAGTTTTAAAGAGAAAAAAATATCTGGGGTAGAAGAAACCTGCAACCTGACCAATTCTCCACTTTCCAATTCCCAGGTCACTTACCAGGTCACTTTGAGGTGCTTCCTGATAGTCTGCTGAAAAGCAGGACATGGAACTTCTGGTGCAGTTGCTGTCACTGGCCTGCCGGGGAGGCTGCGCGTACTGCCTGTAGGTAGCGCTCTTCGGGGTCCAGCGAAACAGGTTGATTGACTCACGAACACAACGCTCAATATCAATCTCTGAGAAGGGATTGAAAGAAGAAACAAGAAACGCAACCATGAAAAAAAAAATCAGTAAATCAAATAAACCTAGCTATGACACTACTAAATATGAATATATTAATCTGTACCTCTTAGTCTTTCTCTCCCTCGCTTAAAGAACACCTAATTTTGGAAAACATTTTCCCATTTAAAAAAAAACAAACTGATTTTTTTTTAATGAAAAAGACATTTTAACATTAATTCTATCCCTAGTTAGGTATGGAAATCTGTGTAAGAGAAGTGTAGCAGAACTTTTAACAAATGCAAAGGCAGGAATATAACTGAAGCCTAGTCATTGTAATGCATCTGCACTGAATGTCTTTGCAAGTCAGACTATTGACTCTTAAATATAAGTATATGCAATGAATAAAAAGAGTATTTCATGCAGTGTACAGACACGAGGATTTTTGGATCAATTTGGTGTCTTATTTTACAGTTAAATACTGCTATAAGCCAAAGTGCAAGTTTTCAGTTCTCAAATTTTGTGGCAAAGCTACATGTCATCTGTTTGGCGGAAAACAGGAGTTTGCAACAATAATTTGTGCTCGATGGCAAACACAGAGGGTTTATTTCAGTTTTTTTTTTTCTTTATTTCTTTATTTTTTTAAAATACAATCCAAAACCCAACTAGACACTCAAAGTATAACATTCTGGTTGAAGGAGTGAAGTGCTGTGTGTGACAAAACATTAATAATCTTAGAAGGAAAGCAGACACCCATCAAAAGGGAAGCATCCTAGAATAAGCTATGGCCAAATAAAAACTTACCAAAGCATAATGAAAAACATACACAAAAGAAAAAATAAATCCCTTGCAAATACAGTTTTTGCAACACTAATAATCCTGCCTGTATCTATCTTTTAACAAGATGTAACATAAAGGCTATTTACTTTTCTCTCACTGTAAGAAGACTGGCTAGTTTTGCATCTCCTGTTTGCAGTCTCACGATAAGAATTTCCTAGCTTGGATTTTTTGACAAACCTAGCCTAGAGCATCAGACAAACTGGAATATAAATTCTTTTTTGTGTTAGGCCCAAGCATCTTGGATGATTCTTTACAGCATTCATAATTTAGAAGATGGAAGCACCAGCTTCTAGAAAACAGTACTACTGTAGCCAAGCTTTATCTGTAGATCTCAAACAGAATTTGATTCATCACCACCAATCATTCATTGCCATAAACAGATTTGATACATTACCATCCATCAGGGAGTTCCTCCAAAAACCTCAGTTATTAGCAGGGTAATGAGCAAAAGAAGCTGGAATAGAAGCTTGGGGCAGAATATCTCAGTTGGATGAGATTATTTGCTTTGTTTAAAATCCAAATGAAAGATGTGATCTATTAATCTCCCATTCAAAATGCTTATATGCCAACTTGCTTCTGAAATTCTGAAAAATCTGAGTAAAGCTGTAGTTTACCTAATTTTAATTCTATCTCTAAATCCTTTTGGTGGATGTGAAAGAAAATCAAGATTTCCTTAACCATATCAAGTTTCCTAGCTACTTGGGATAATACTTGCCAGAGATAGAGGCGAAAAAGTGGTGTCCCAAGAGTTACAGTTTTTTTTTCTTTTGAACAAACTGTAATGGAAGGTTGATAATTACTTTCATTCCTAAGAAAAATCTATGCCACCGGAGAATTTTATACAATTTCTAAATTCAGGTAAAGACAGCACCCTTTCATTGCTTATTATTCCTAGAGCTCAAAATAAACTCCAAAGTATGGTCATTGCAGTCATGCTTTCTCTAAATTTCTTAAGACTCCTTTTATTTATAGGAAGTTGAGAATTTCAGTTAAAGACCACAGTACATTTATGGCTTTCGTTTTTTTCTGTAAAGCGACTGCTATAACTGTGAACTATAGACTTGTCTCCTGAGATTCTTAGCTAGGGAAATGTTAGCAGTACTTTTGTAATAAATGAAATTAAAGTAGAATTTAGCCAGTAGAAAAAAGAAAAAAAATCTGAACAACAAAAATAAATAGCAGGGGAAACATTCAGTTGTGAGTGGACATAATAGCCTACATATATCTGAAATTGAAAACAGAGAACTGGGGGATGGAATAGGAATGCTGTATGCACTAGAAAGTTATGAAAAAGCTGAAAGCAGAAATTGAGATTGACAGAGTTAAACACTGAGACAGATTATAAAAATATTTTTCCTACTAACAAGCTATGTAATTCCAAAAAGAATCCATTTAGAGAACTGGAAAAAGCAGCAATGGGTTTCCCTAAAAAACCCCAATAACCAGTTCTTGCTCATTAGTGTGTAATAAAAAAAATGTTGAGGTCAGTTGTTCTGTGATTCTTGGCTCTTTGATTTCTCATTTTTTCTAAGCAGCATGTCAGGAGGAAAGTGAAATTCCATTGAACAAAAAGAGAATTTTTAATGGTTTGGGACGGAGGCCATCAAAAGCCTAACAGCAATTTACAGTCTGCTGATTAATTGATCTACTCCTAAGTAATGCAAAATAAAAATATAACAATGAGATTGTGGATTCCACAAATAATTAAATATATATATGCTCACATAGACACATGTATACATATATGTGGGAATAGTCAACATTCATCATCCATGAGGGACACAAGACTATTGGTAGAGAAGGAATTTACTCGCCCTGTTTTGTTTTTTTTAAAAAAAAACCTGTTAGTTTCAGGATACTGGGATTTTAAGAAATATATATATATGCTCACATAGACACATGTATACATATATGTGGGAATAGTCAACATTCATCATCCATGAGGGACACAAGACTATTGGTAGAGAAGGAATTTACTCGCCCTGTTTGTTTTTTTTTTTAAAAAAAACCTGTTAGTTTCAGGATACTGGGATTTTAAGAAACATTACACTGGTATAAACATTTACCAAATGTTTATTAGTAATTTTGCTTGAACAAGTTACACACTTGGCTAACCTTCAATCCAGTCTTCACCTTCTGTTTGAAATTTCAGGTTAAGAAAAATCACTTCTTGTCAATAACTAAAATGTAATTCAATCTTGCAATCTTGCTGTATAAGATCTCTTCTCTTCCTTTTGGCTAATAAGTAAGGGTCTGCTGTGCTACTTAAATTCTGATTTCTTCCCACGCCCTTTCAAATATATGACAAATGAGTCAATCCCTGATTAAATGTCCATCTTTTGTTATCACACCAAGACTTTGCATTCATGCTGTATTAATCCTGCTCATACTCTTCCTGTTGCCAAGTAGCTGTGCCAGAAAGCCTTAAAGCTTACACATTGTGACAAAGAAACTCCTACTATGTCTGCAGTGTAAATATATCAAGTCAGTGACTAGATTCTTGAGTAGGACTAAGAACAAAGGAAGAGACTCCCTCACCAGGATGCCAGACTACTTGACATGTGCAAACAAATTAGAATAACATCCTTCTTAGGGCAGGCTCTGCAGAAATCTCAAGGTGTTAGGAAGCAGCAGACAGAAACATTTAGAAAGGGCCTGCTCACTCATGGACATGCAACATCTTTGTGCTCTCCTAGGTCCCAACACTGCAGTGTTTTGTAGTTTTAAAAGCATGTGCCTTCTGTTTTTATTCATATAAATTACTTTGCTGGAAAATCTGCAATAAAAATGTGCCGATGTAAAATTGTGCCATGTATGTGAATCATGCACTGAAAAAAATGTAAGCCTAACTTTAAGCACAATAAAAATACCATAACAATAAATTCTGATTTCAAAATTGACTATGTCTTCAACCAGTCCGGTTTTCAAGAAGTGCAGAGCACCTGTATTTCAAAATGCCAAAGTTGGCACCCAGGTACATACAAACTAAAATCACAAGTTTCATTTTAAAAAAGTGGTGTTAGGAGTTCTGGATCAACTGAGCTCAAGTATTTCACTGTCAAGCAGTAATCAAGCCATGCAGGAAACAATTCTACAGCACCAGCTAATTACTCCATTACTTGACATTAAAAGACTTTTCCTGAGATTTCTAAATATGCAAATAGTATGGGAATTGAAAAAGGCAGGGGTGGGGAAGTAAACAAAAAGTGATCCAGCCGCAACATCCTGGATTTGCCATGGCCCCAACCTAATATTAAGCCTACAGAAATATTTTACATCTTCTCAAAAATAAACTTCCTGGTTGGTCTAAAATGCTACTGGTTTTGCATTGTTCATGCTAAATTACCACTCCTTACCATGCAGCTGCTTTCCTCTATCAACAGCCTCAACTGAAAAGGATCGTTTAGCCTGACATAGCTGCTTTTTAAGCTACATATATTTAATGTTTATTATTATAGATAGAGGAGAGAAGTAGACCACACTTAAACCAGATGTTAAAAAGAAAGCAACAGTTTAAAGGAAATACACCTGTGACAGAAGCATACAGAATTTTTTATTTTATACTGGATGTGCATACCTTTTTCACAGCAAGTGACAACAAGTAATGGAGAAAAACGTAAGACAAATGGTTCTTTCTTAATGAAAATCTACACAAGCCAAGTCTTTGTGTGCAGTTAATCGGTTCCAGAGCCCTTTCCTTGGGTAACAGGACACCCGGTAAGAAATTTGGCCAAGATAAACTGCTCCTACATTTTGGAAACAGCCCAAAATTACAGGCTTGGTTGACCTCTCCATCACAAATACTTTATTACTACCCAGCCAGGCAAAATCAGCTTTTACCACACAGACACATAAATAGGTAGGTCTTAAGTAGAAGACCTTTGTATGGCACTTGGGGATATGGCTTAGTGCTAGACTTGATAGAGTAGGGTTAATGGCTGGACCCTATGATCTTAAAGGTCTTTTCCAACCTAAGTGATTCTGTATTAGCATAGCTCTCATCTTGTTAGCCTTCAGGATATTTGTAAGGAAGTAATATGAAGTAATTCAGAATTTCTGTTTTTTTGAAATAAGATAAACATTCAAGTAATCTTGAAAAGGAGTACCTGTTGCCATCAGAAAAGGATCCAAGACTCTAATTTGACCTGTTTGTTCCTAGACCAATAATGGAAAACCT